TAAAATGTTGTTTTAATCTTTTTTAATTATTTTAATCTATCTGTTTTACATTGCTTTAGGAGCCTTGAACTTTAAAGTAATAAAAACAGTACAAAAGATAGATAGATAGATAAACAGTCAGACAGAGCAACCAACCAGTGCTATAAAGCTTTCCATGTACTTATATGATGAACTTGCTCCCCCATTTTTGCACTACAATTCCCAATATCCTTCAGGAAACATGTAGTCCAAAAAGAACTCAGTCTGGGGGATTGTGGGAGCAGTGGGTGCTTTTTTTTAGCCCCTCAAGCTTTGTTTGCTGCAAAATTTTGTTCAGCATTACATTCAAACGGAACTTGTAGCTTCTGGCTGCACTAAAATGTGGGAGAAATTTTTAAGAAAAGAGGTTTGATAAGACAGGCTGAGTTTCTTAGAAGAGCAGAGTGAGATTCCAACAACCCAAGAAGGTGGCTGCCATGATGTGTCTCTAGAAGGAGGACGAAGAAGCACTAAACAAAATAATCCCTTAAAAAACTGATGTTTTTTGTTTCTGTTCTTTAGAAATAGGACTTGAATGTTAGTTCTATTAGTTATATTATCATATGAAAAATATGTAACTGGTTAATTTACTAAATTATCGTTGAAAAAAAATCTAAAATTCTCAAGTCCATTTGCTATAATGGTTTGTTCAACACCCTTTCTTGTTCCTTAAAGTTCAAGGGAAAAATTTTTTAGTCCAAACACAAAGTAATTTCAAACAGCAATTTAAGATCAGAGAAGACTGTGACTTCTTCATGTTTGACCAGTTCTATAAAGATTATTGAATGCAGAGCCATGTTGTAAGCTTTCTCAGTATAATTAGGATTATAGAAGTACACATCAAAATCTAGAGCATGCCCAGTTTATGATGAGCTCTTTATGTGGTAACCATAACGTAAGGGCTTCTTTTAAATGGTTTTATGCCCCAGTTTAAACTTTTCTGTTACAAGTTTTAAAGCCTATAACCATATGACCAGAAGTGATTGTGCAGTTCTTTTCCTTGGAACAGACACCTTCCTAGATCATTTCCGCACGAAAGAGCCCTGCATTCTGGCCTGCACTTGTGTTTCCAGAAGCATCATGGGATGGATAAAGTTAATAGTTAACTAAACTAAATGAAAGTTATATCTAGAAGAAACTAAAGGAAATAAATCAGACCATCCAAACTATACTGTGTAACTATTGTTAACAAATATGTTAACAATAGAGTGTGCTGAAAGCTACGGTACCATTTTAGATAATGCCTGGAAACATAAGTACTCTTCCCTTATGTACTATAGTAAAACTAGGGTGATGGCTTTTCAGCTGTGTCACTGGAATGAGTGCATAGAATCAGAGATGAATAAAAGCAATTGTTCTATACATACAACTTGTTGCATATTTACGCTGGTAATACGTTAACAATAGAGTGTGCTGAAAGCTCCGGTACCATTTTAGATAATGCCTGGAAACATAAGTACTCTTCCCTTATGCACTATAGTAAAACTAGGGTGATGGCTTTTCAGCTGTGTCACTGGAATGAGTGCATAGAATCAGAGATGAATAAAAGCAATTGTTCTATACATACAACTTGTTGCATATTTACGCTGGTAAACCCTCCTTTCTACTACCACAAGCAAGTATGTTCTGCAATATCACGAGGGGATCCCCCTTTCTAACATTAGAATGTTGGTTCCCCAACTGGGAAGCAGGTTCCCATCGGATGGTATGAAAAAAAAAATTAAGGGAGCATGAGAACATAAGAGTTTAATCATAATCCCAATTGGCCAAGATTTTGTCAGGGAGGTTCCACCTGTGCAGTGAGAATGGTCATAATCAGTGGCAGATTGGCACTGATTAAAGACACCACACCCACCCCAGGTTTGGGGTGCATGTGGTTTTGTCTCATTGTATGCATCAGTCATGGGGACGTGGTGGCACTGCGGGCTAAACCGCAGAAGCCTATGCTGCAGGGTTAGAAGACCAGCAGTTGTAAGATTAATCCACGCGACGGAGTGAGCGCCCGTCGCTTGTCCCAGCTCTAACCAACCTAGCGGTTCGAAAGCATGCAAATGCAAGTAGATCAATAGGGACCACCTCGGTGGGAAGGTAACAGCGTTCCGTGCCTAAGTCGCACTGGCCATGTGACCACGGAAGATTGTCTTCAGACAAACGCTGGCTCTATGGCTTGGAAACGGGGATGAGCACCGCTCCCTAGAGTCGAACACGACTGGACAAAAATTGTCAAGGGGAACTTTTACCTTTACCTTTTTTATGCATCAGTCATGCACAGACTGAAATCCAGAAAGGAAGTCTTTAAATCAGTGGCAATCTGTTATTGACAATGATGTCATTCCTGTTGCACAGGCAGATATACACAACAGGATTTTGGCCATTATATTTGTTTGCTTTTCTGCTATTTTTAAAGTCTGGGTGGTACTGACCTGTGTCCTCACATCACAACCACACTTCACACCTTATGTAGATTAACAATGTGATGCCTTAACAGGAGAAATCATTTTCTTCATTTATATCGCGTTTCAAGCCACGATTACTGAGATTTAGAGTTACTCACTTAAGAGTTCTATTTCTGTTATATACTTTCTTAGCCCTCTCATTTCTGTAACCATTCTCATTTTGAAACCATTGGAAACACTCTGCTAAAAAATGAAAATGTGGTTGCAAAAATTGATATTTGTCATAAGCACATTTGTTGCCAGGTGAGGAGGTCCTGTTTAGGTCACTGTAAAATCTATTACAATTAATAGATTTTCATTTGTTCTGTGAATGATGTAAATGCTCTTTGCACCTGATCTACATAGATACATGCATTGTCTTGGGTTAGAGCCCTTCATAATATCTGTTGTTGTTATCTGCTGTCAAGTCAGAACTGACTTATAATGACCCTAACAGGGGTTTCAAGTGATGTATTTAAGGATTGGTTTTACCAGTTCCACCCCCACCCCCAGTGAGTTTCCACATCAGAGCCAGGCAATTTAACTCAGGTCTCTTGAGTCCTAGTCCATTACTATATCAACTACACTACACGGAGTACTGTAATATTTATACTCTTGTCTCTAAACATTTATCCCACAGTAAGAACTATAACATACAATGATAAAGCTCCTAATAACCAAAGAGTTTGGTCCATTTTGTATTTTACGTTCAGTTTATATTGCACATTGTAAGACACAATTGTAAGATGTAAAGTGGGGAGCCAGCATTACATTAAAACTGTTTCTAAACTAGTATGATTAGTGTCTATCTCCACTCTGGACTTTTAAGTAGTAGGATGAAGTACGGATATAGCGGTCATCTTCAGTTTTTAGTTGGATATATGTATGTATTGTGTGCCATGAAGTCAATTCCAACTTATGCTGGCCCTTTCCAGGATTTTTAAAGTGGTTTACCATTCCCTTCTGGTGGCATACTGGGACTATGCAGTTTGGCCAAGTCTACACAGGCTAGCTCTTCTCCCTTGGAGGCACAGTGGGGAATCAAACTCCCAATACCTGGCTTTGTAGTCAGATACCTAATACATGCTTATAAATAAGCAACTACAAAGGTAAACTTCCTTGGACTTTTAGAAAAATGGAAATGTTTTAAATAAATAAATAGAAAACTCTAAAAGTAGTCTCAGCGTAGATTTGCATGGATGGAATGGATTTCTTCCAGCATTTTAGATCCAGGACAAAGTGCAGGTCAGAACTAATATTTACATCCCCCCCCCCCGCTTATCCTTCAGAATAGAAATGGATTTCATACTTCTGATGACAACCTTAAAAAGAATCAAGTCAATTGCTTGCCTCATAATCCTTAAAGTGCATCAACTTAGCCAGCCAGCCCAGGCCCAAAAGTCATATAGAATGAATATTTTGATTCTAAGATATGAATTATCGCTAGCAGCAATAAGTAGTCAAAGTGGAATTTCACAGTAAGTGTTTACTATAACTCCCTTACAATTTTTAATAGTACTTGTAAAAGTGAAATAAATTTTGCAATGCCCTGTAGCTGCAGAAAATATTTGAATCTAATGTTTGAAATATAGCTCTCAGCAGGCTATTTTCTATAAGGCTGTGAAATTGGATAACAACAGATGATATTTGTATGGTTTACATGTTTACTTTTATTTTTGAATTTAGATTATCTCTGAGCTACTGAATGGGTGTTTAATTTTTATGAGACATCATGCAATAAGCGTTCCAGCAATTCCAATATTTTAAGGAACTGTTTTAGAAGATCAAGCGTATTTTGTAGTTTCAAGGGTAACTGCGAAATGGTAGCTAACATATTGTGTTCATTTAGGAGGGTGCTTTTCTATAACAAGATTAGAATTCAGGTGCCTGTTCCAATTGTAGGAGTTCATAGATTGTCAGACTAGCTAAAATGGAAGGTGCCTGCAGAGAGGTTTATAATGGAAGTCAACTGCTTCTATGGGCCCAATTAAGAGTATCCAACTGTGAAATGCAGCTCCCTGGATAGAAATTGGATTGCCCATTTTGGGATCAGGGAAACAGCAAGGGGAATATCTACTTCCATGGTTACAAGGAATGGTCTACATGTTTAAGGGTTCTGACTAACCTCCTAAATTTTAAGTGTACGTTATTAATAAGGTTAGTATTGGATTCCCTCAGTGCAGGTTTACGTATGCACCACAATCTGAACTTGAAGCCCTGGTAACTGTTCTTGAGATATGGATGTGCTCTCGGTCCCAAATCAATCTTGTCATTCCTCAGAAAGCAATGAAAGATAATAAGTACTATTCACCTGATTGCCTTCCTGCTCTGAGACAGCTGGTGACGCTTGTCTTGCTGATAACCAGGACTTTCAGATCTAAGGCAGGGATAAAGAAAAGCCGGGAGCTTGCAGAATTTAAATTTGACAGTCGATGGCAGTGTAGAAGGGCCAGGAAGGATAGAATCTCTGACACATATAAGAAAGGAACAAAATTTATCTCCTCTAGTTGCAATGATTATATGTCTCGTTGTCTGGCTTTCTTACAGTGGATGATTGATCGTGCCTGCCAGCCGCCTAATATCATAATTAACAAAGTTGCTGCTGTGTCTGAGAAGTTTAATCGGAAAAAAATTGCCGTCAGTATGATGCCATTGTTGCCCACGAAGATCAGAAGCGTTACAAAGTCGACTTTTGGACTAATGAAGCTGCAGAACTATGTGGGCAGAATAAGAAATAGTGGACCTGTGTGGCTTATGGTAGGTTTCCTAATAACAATTCTCTTATTCACTTTTTTTAAAAAATGGGAGCACCTTAGCTTTCATTTCAGGATCACATTTCAATATTTGAAGCTTGAGGTAAAATATTCTGCCATTGTTAATTGTGGTTGTTGTGGGGTTTTTTGGGCTCTTTGGCCGTGTTCTGAAAGTTGTTCTTCCTAATGTTTCACCAGTCTCTGTGGCCGGCGTCTTCAGAGGACAGGAGTCAGAACTCTGTCTGTGCTCTGTTCTGACTCATGTCCTCTGAAGATGCCAGCCACAGAGACTGGCGAAACGTTAGCTTCAGAACATAGCCAAAGAGCCCAAAAAACCCACAACAGCCATTAGATCCCTTCCCTGAAAGCCTTCAAGAATTCATTGTTAATTGTCTTACCAAAGAGTGTTTAACGGGGGTAATTGTTGCTATGATCCTCCTTCTCCACCTTCAGATAGATTCTCTTTTTCTTTTTCTCTTTTTCACAGTACATTCAGTACACAATTATGTGTGCATTTATATATATAGAAGGTTACAAAGACAGCTGATTAACAATCTTGACTCCAGATGCCCCAGAGAATCTAGGAGAGATCCAAACATCTCAGCTGGTGATCTAAAATAAGAACACATTTTATAGATTAAAAATTGTTTCACTGAGGTCTTCCTTGGCAGTTCTGTTTTTTTCACCCCTTTTGATAAGCTTTCTTTGCTCATATAGCTGTCCCTAGAGTACATGTTGCTGTTTCTAGTCTACGATGTGAATATTGACATGATGTGTATGTGTGCCATATAAAAAGGAGAGAATGAGAAATTATGGGGGGGAGAGAGACAAAGGAAACAATAGCTGAAGCAGACAATGACACAGGAAGATGCAGAAATAGGAAAATGTTGCATAAAAGCTACACACGTTTCACTGTTTGGATTTAATAAAGCCCAGGAAAAAAAGATTGATGATAATTATGAGTCGAATGACACATTTTAACCAAACCTGGTGCATTTTCTTGTAGGTTTTCTTTTAAATTGAATATGCAATAGTTAATGTGATTGATTGTAGTTCAGACTGATGATATATTTCTGGAAATCAGTATGTTTCACACATTTTCTGTAAGCAGTTGGCAAATTTTAAGATATATTAAAAGATTATTGATCCCATTGCATATTTTAAAAATATTTTAATGCATAGGGATTTAAAGACAATTCAGTAAGTCTTTCGCAATGCTATTTTATAGTGTTTGCTCAAATTCTTAGGGAAAAAACAGAAGTGGTGTTTCGCTGCCTCCTTTTTCCCAGTATTTCTCTAAACTGAAACACTGTTTCTTGATCAGAAACATGCTTTCCACATTATCAACAATAGATATGCATGTTGCCCTTTATTAGCATTTTTATTATTCACTATTTTTAAAAAACTTTGTTTTGGCTGGAACAAAGAATCATACAAATATAGAAGGGAAAAAGCAGCTTAGTAATGCAAATCTCAAGCAGAAGGAAAGATTAAGCTCCTAAACAAGTATATTGTTATTTTAATCAGTACTCACATAATATTTCATGTAATTGAGACTTAGTGCATTGTTAAAACTCAGCTGGAGAACCAAATATCTATATGGATTACAGGAGGAAATGCTAAGGAAATGTCACAGCAGATGTGTCTGGTTTTTAACAGGATTATTTCCTGGGATACATAGCAATGAACTCCTTGTAATAGTTTCAAAGGAACTAATAACTTTTAGAAATGTGTTAATAGTAAATGTGCTAATATAACGGTTTAGAAGATTAGTGATGCATTCTTTTCCACTGAAAGAAGAATATAATAAATGTCTCAGGTGATTCAGGCTGTAGCAATTTTTGTTGGCGATTAAAGCTTGATGGACCTTTGGTTGAGTGATTAACCCTTTGGAAATTAAAACCCAGTGCTAAAATATTCAATCTAATTTAAATGCAAACGTGGGGGGGGGTTTCAATTTTTTTAAAAAACCTTTTAATTTTCTTTCTACCCCTTATTGTTGAGAAGATAAGATAGGAAAAGAGCTCTAATTTTGGCTGGACAAAGCAGTTTCAGAAGCAGAATGGTTTTCTGGAATCCAAAACTGAGAAGGATGCCTAGCAAAAGAATTCCAGAATGGATGCATTACAGAAGCTATGATCAAACAGGTAAGATGGGGGGGGGGCTGTTTAATATCTCTAATGTAAGACTCCATTATTGTGTACATATTTATTGAACAATATATCTCATTGAACCAAACAGAGATTAGTTTGTTTACCTTGTAGTCTTATACCGGAAATATTTTCATAGCAAACGTAGACCGAGTGCTAACATTCTGTCCTTTAAAGATGGTAACCCATTATAGAATATAGTTTAAAGAAGACTAAAGATGCAGATTTAGGTTGTTTTTCTGTATGTTCACTTTCCTGGGTATGAATCTCATTGAACTCAACAGAGCTCATGCCTGACAAGATGTGTGTAATATTATACAATTAATTACTAACATTATTTACTGAGTTATGGGTGGACATTTTGTTTACTTTTAGAATAAAGTTCCAAAATAGCCCATAACAACAGTTATATGCTATCTCTGAAATAATTCAGCGAAGTGCAATGTGAATATCATGTTTAATAATCTTAATATATTTAATATATTTAATAATCTTAGACTCTGGAACTGAAGTACAGGTTTGGGTTATTGACCCAGATCAGAAGAGAAATAGGGCTTTGGCAGCATATTTGAATTTCTGCAGGGACATTCCAGTGCAGAATCTTCTTTTTTTTAAAAAAAATATTGGACATTGGAAGCAAATACTTCATCTGTTATTACTTCAGCTGTGGGAACAGAATTTAGCCAGATATTATCAAATTAGTTTCTGTGTGCAGTGTTCTCCATGCTCTATACTGGCTTTTAAAGAATCTTACTAGAACCATGTAGTCTTGCCACATTGGACCTGCCAAGCAAATTGAAGGCAGGATTACTGTGTAATTTTCTAGAAACTCCACTATTACACTGTCTGACCCTTTAGCTGCTTCTTACTCAGCATCAAACTGAATTTATAATAACTTGCTCCAGCATTCATTGGTTTGTCTTCACCTAATTGCCATCTTCCTCTCATTTTTCCCTTCCTCACCGATTTAAAAAAATTAATTTAATTTGATTTTAAAAGAAAACAAAAGAAATGAGAGGAAGCTAGTAACTAAAAAGTATGTTAACTAATTATGTGTGACTCATTATGGGGCATTTCATTAATCAAAATTGAAGGGGTTGTTTGTTTCTAATTAAATTACAGAGGATGTTAGTTGAATGGGACCTACATCTGAAGCCCATTCAAGTGATTCTAAACATATTCAGTGGAAATGACTAGCCCCCACCTGCATAATCACTTTCTAACCCTTTCAATGCCACATCTGAAGAGGAGGGTCTCTGCTTGTATATAAGCTCTACAATGAAGTAAGAGCTCAAGTTTTCTAGGAGTCTTGCTTATGAGTGGAGCCTACACATGAGAAAGAACCCCTCGTCTTCAAGTTTGGTGCTGAAAGTACACAACAACTGAGGTAGTGCTACACAATCTCCTGTTTGGAACACCAGTTTTATTAATATGTGAATAGGGCTTGAGTAGCTCTTATAAAAAGATATTGAATAAGCTAATATTGTGTTATATAAAACTATGATTTAAGATCCACATCCAGCTAAAGGGTCTTCTGTGGAAAGTTAGGAATAAAGGCCCACTGTCTGAAACCTTTTTGGTTTTATTGTGCAGTGATTTCCCCCTTTTGTTTTAAATTGGTTATAGACTCTGTCATCCCCTACTGAGGAGTGGAATTGAATGACTATTCCACCTCCTGCAAATTAAAGAAACAGCCTCTTGTCAATTGAAAGCTGGGTAGTAATTTTGTTTCTCATGCACACTAGGTGACTTTTTAGATTTGTTCCTTTGAAAAAGAGTTAGCCAGAGAATTGCAGTTAGGACATCCATTGTAAATGTGTAAAGCACACTATGTCCTATAAGATTTATAGGATTCATAGTTGGGGATTTTTAGTGGGTGGGGATTGTTTGGGGAGTGTTTGGAGATTTTTTATGTGTGTGCATGTGGGTCTGGTCTCTCTGTGTCTCTGTGAATTTCGTTGTATGGGTATAGTATGTATATACTTACAATGACAATAAATCTATTTGAATTTTATTTGAATTGAATTTGAATAAGACTGAAAGTTTGAGAACAATTGGTCATATCCTGGACCACTAATAAGCTCTGTTGGGTGGTTAAGAGAAAGAAGCTTATGTTATTTTATATGTAAGACAGTCAAGATCTTGCTTCCTTTTCCATTTCGATGGCTAACAAATGTGAGAAATACCATAAGTAAGCCAAGACAAATCTTGGAGTTACACTGGCTGCAGTTAACAGTTTTTCAACTTTTTGAATGCAATGTACGTTATTAAAATTCAGTTTACTTCTTTCTTTCATTGAAGATGAGTTCCCAACGACTTTGTCAGGATTGAGAAATCCAAGGTATTGTGGTGGAGAAATTGAGAAAGCTGAGCAGTAGCTTCCTTTTACATAGTACTTTCATTTACACTTAAAACAGTCTCTAGAGAGAAAATCTCCCCTCCCCAGGGAGCTCCGTGAAAAAAAGGGGAAAAGATGAAAACTAAACTTGTTGTGGAGTGGTTCAATTGACTGATTGGATGGAGAGTAGGCATGGCGAGGAAATAAACTTCCTGGTACCAAACATATAGGCCTAAATAGAATTGCTTGTCTCCTCTAGTAAATCCACAGAATGAATAATCACTGAAATGTGCACAAACATTTCTGTAAAACCATTTGATTTAATGGCTCTATTTTAGGTGGGAATCTGTGTTTTCTTGGGCTTGGATTAGCAGTTGGTCAGTCAGAACCTTTAATGGCACACACACACACACACACACACACACACACACACACACACAAATCACATATAAAGAATGACTATTAATTAACTGATTACAAATCTTACGAATTACAAATCTACAAATTCATTATGTCTCACAGATTAGCATAAATTAGGTTTTGTGCCTATATTTTTTGAATACACATTCTTAATGCCTTTTGGAACCACTAAATAACTGAGAGAGAGAGAGCGAGAGAGAGAGAGAGCATCTTTTCTTTTTAAACGTTGAACATTTCACTTGCAGGTTAATCTAAACACATTTAAATACTGGCTATGTCTGCATGCATCCATTATAACTTATTTTGACCATATATAACATTTCATTAGGAGCTGTTTCTTCTGCAAGAATTTGTCTTCATATGGTGGAGCCATTTGGCTCTATTAATAGAGTATATGTATGTAGTGTTGATGCAGCTTCCCTTGAATATGTCCATTATTCCACAGTTTAAAGGAAAGAGAGGAAATTGAATGTATTACATGAGCATATGTTTGATTAGATTTCTGCATGCTTATGAAAATTTCTATTTCTCTCCTAGCTGAATGACTCTCTCTTAAAACAGTATAGTGGATATGTTAAGCAACTATCAATACGTTGCTAAGTGAAAAGGCATGTTGATTTCCAGCTGCCAATAGGGTAAACTAAATCAAACAAGCTGGAAAACAAACTTCTTTCTTTCCCCATGGGTTACATCCATAATTTTTCACAAGCAAATAGAATCATTTCTTTCATGTGGAAAAGTAAAATTTGGGTCACAACTTCCAGAATCTCCCAACCATACTGGCTAGGGGATTCTGGGACTTGTAATTTGGAAAAGCAGTTTTTCTAAGTAATGTTCTATCTACAGTATTTCATTTTAGTGACCATTGAGATCCCAAATGCATTTTCTAATGCCAAAAATGAGTGCCAGTATTTAACTTCAGGAAGTCTATCCCAGTTAGGGAATTTACCAGTCATGAGAGGTGTAAAATATTTATTTTTATAAGAAACTCACAGTTTCTCTTCTTTCTCTTTTTATATACTGGTCTACTACTTCTGAGTCCTTGGCTTTACAACTGTATGGGTTGTAAAGCTTATCCTAGGAATTTAAGAATCTTATTGGGGAACTTCAGAAGGCTGAATAAAATCTGAGGGCCTTAGAGTGAAGTTCTTTGCTTGTAGGAATTTCAATAATTACCAGCAAAAATCGTGTGTATTTATATTATGAGGCAAATCAAGTAACCATAGTCTTCAGCAGCAGATGATGAAGAAGATTGCAGCTTAAAATTTGTGTGAAATAAAGGCTGAAAACTTGTTATATTGTGCTGCTGTAATGCAAACGGTGTGACTTGGTGCATGTTAAACAGTCTAGATTCATTTCAGTCAGGGTTCAAGCTGTTTGATGGGAGCAAGACAGTTCTGATCGTTCTGCTTAATGACTTAAGTGAGACTGACCAGGGGAATATGACCTTGTTGGCCCTTCTGGATCTCTGAACAGCCTTTGATACCATCAATTATGATATCCTCTTGGGTAGACTGTTGAGTTTAGAAAATGGAGGTTTAGTGTTACTTTGGCTCCAGTACTTTCTTGATGGTTGTGTGCAGAGGGCGTAGTTTGAGGGTGCTGTTTCAACTCCATGGTCCTTTGTTCTGGAGTCCTATCGGGTCAATAATCTCCTGAATGCTCTTACTTCTATATGAGGCTATTGGGGAAGGCGATCCAGAGATTTGGAGTTTGCTGTCATGAATATGCTGATGATATGCAACTCTATTTCTCATTTTCTTCTTCAGCAGTAGAAGCTGTGTGGACCCTGGAGTGGTGCTTGATATTGGTTATGGACTGGATGAAGGCTAACAGATTGAAACTGAATCCTGACAAGACAAATATGACATTGTTGGAAGGGGAGCTTGCCCAATTAGGAGGTATTTTGCCTGCTCTAAAAACCAGGTCCATGACTTGGGTGTGTTCCTGGAACTGGCTCGCACCATGGAGAAGCAAATCTCTGCCATGGCCAGGTCTGTCTTTTCCAATCTTGAATAGATTGCAGTTATGGGCATTTTTTGGATGGGAAATCCTTAACAACACTGATCCACACATTGGTAGTTTCTAGGATTGATTACTGCAATGCTCTCTGAATGGGGCTGCCTTTGAAGGCGACACAGAAGCTTCAGCAGGTGCAAAATGCAGTGGCTAAGTTAGTATCAGGAGCAGTGAGGTATGATCACATCTTCCCAGTACTGGCACAACTGCATTTGCTTCT